AAAGAAAAATGAAGAGTGTTGGTAAATGGAAGGGATCTTCTGCCATGGTTTAAATGGAAGGAATGGGTATGGATATATGTTAGATATTTGAATGTGTTTCATGGTATGTACTGGGTATAATTGTATAAAGCTGAATCTCTCTCTCCTAAGGTATATGTTTGACGTACAACAAATATTATAGAAAAACCCCACTGGAAAACATTTTAGGATGATTCACCCTTTAGGTTTTCGACCATAGGAAGGTGATTTCGGTCCAGGTACGACTGAAATCCCTTAATCCACTCCATACATGAGGATTTCGATCCTAATGGGCTTCAAGATGGTGATTTCGGTTTCATTTTGGTGAGATTTCGGCATTAATGGGCCATGGGCTAAGGATTTCGGTCATGAGGCATTCCCATGGATGTGTTTTCGGTTCTTTGTTCATAGGTAACATAAATATGGTGTCCTTCGAATTTGAGTGTTCAAAGTTGTGGCACAAATACAAGTTCTTGTGTTATATCTATTTTATTCATGTTTCATTTGCATGGAATTTTCAAGGCTTAATTCAACATGAAATTCTAAGTTTATTATCTTTAGTCATACAAATGGTGCCTTCTTGTATTTCAAATAATATCATTTCATCTGGGTTACATAGATAAACCTCGTGGATACACTTATACTCAAGACCCCCTTAGATTTGGTTTGACTCATAATATTCTAGTTGACACAATTTCTAGCACACATTGTGGAACAGAAGAAAGAGGTGAAGGAAATCTTGGATATATCAAAATTCCCTGATTTTCGTGATATGTTTCCAGAAGACCCCCCGGGGGTTACCATGTGTACGACAAGTCGAGTTCAGAATCGACTTCATCGTAGAACTATCCCCTGTAGCAGAGTCTCTATACAAACTAGGCTCGACAGAAATCCAAGACTTGTCTAATCAACTACATGAATTATTTGACAAGGAATTCATTAAACCAAGCTTTTCACCCTGGGGAGTCGCCAATCTTATTCGTGAAGAAGAAAGATGGATCCTTTAGGATGTGTAATGACTATCGGGAATTGAACAAGCTGACCATCAAGAACTGGTACCCGCTTCCTAGAATCGATGATTCGTTCGACCAATTGCAAGGATCCGATTACTTCTCAAAGATCGATTTGCGATCAGGGTACCATCAACTTATATTTCAGGAAGAAGATGTCCCTATAACGACTTTCAGAACTCGATATGGCTACTAAAAGTTTGTAAGTTATGCCATTCAGATTGACCAATGCTCCAACACTATTTATAGGCCTCATGAATATCATATGCAGACCGTCCCTAGAAAAATTTGTGATCAAATTCATTGATAATATATTGATGTACTACGAAGTGAGGAGGAGTATAGGCAACACTTGCGATCAAAACTAGAATTATGACGAAAAGAGAAACTTTATGCAAAATTATTGAAGTGCGAGTTCTGGTTACGAAAGGTAGACATCCTAGGACATCTAGTCAACAAAGAAGGATGTAGTACGGGGAATGGATAAGAACTTTGAACTCAGAGATGACGGAATACAGTATTTCATGAATCAAATATGGACGCCGAAGTTCGGCGATCTTAGGGATTTGATCATGAACGAGGCACACAAAACAAAATACTCCATTCACCCTAGGGCAGACAAGATTTACCAAGACCTGAAAGGGATGTATTGTTGGCCAAACATGAAATAAGAGATTGCCACTTATGTAGGTAAGTGCCTAACTTGTGCTAAGGTCAAAATAGAATACTAGAAGCCCTCTGGGCAGTTACAAAAACCAGTAACACCTGAATGGACATGGAAGTGGATTACCACGGACTTCATGACAAAGTTGCCCAAGACTACAGGTGGACACGATTCCATTTGGGTGATCGTAGACGTACTAACCAAATCTGCACACTTCCTATCAAACAAAACGACACATAAGACTGAAAATCTAACAATAACATATCTCAAGGAGATTGTAAGACTGCACAGTATGCCACTGTCCATTATCTCGGATAGGGATAGTCAATTCGCCTTGCATTTTTAAAGTCGTTACAGAAGTCATTGGGAACCCAAATCGACATGAGTACAACTTACCATCCCTAAACAGATGGTCAGAGTGAGAGAAATATTCAAACATTGGAAGATATATTTCGTGCCTGTGTGATGGACTTTGGAAAATCATGGGATGCTTACCTACCACTGATTGAGCTCTCTTATAATAGTAAATACCACGCCATCATTAGATCCACTCCGTTTGAAGCACTATACGGACGTAAGTGCAGATCACATACTCTCAACTGGCTAAGGGGTCAAACGACCAATAACACCCTCACCGACCATGAGATCATATAGGAAATGATAGAGAAGATCGTTCAGATCCATGATCAATTAAAGGCATCTCCGGGTCAACAAAAGAGCTACATAGATAAACGATGCAAACCCTTGGAATTGCAGGTTGGTGATCGCGTATTGTTGAAGGTCTCACCCTGGAAAGGAATGATACATTTGGAAAACGTGGGAAAATAAATCCAAGGTACATAGGTCCATTCGGGATCCTTGCCAAGATCGGTCGGGTAGCTTACAAACTTCTACTACCTCATGAACTTAATAATGCGCATCCTACTTTCCACGTGTCCAATTTAAAGAAGTGCTTGTCCGATGAGACACTTGTCATCCCACTTGACGAGATCAAGGTGAACGAGAGCCCCCACTTCGTCGAGGAACCTATGTAAATCTTGGATAGGGAAGTCAAAAGAACAAAGCAAAACCACATACCAATAGTAAAGGTCCATTGGAATGCCAAGCGAGGACCTGAATTTACTTGGGAACATGCGGACAAAATGAACCATAAATACCCACATCTTTTCTCTTGACTTCTCTATCCATTATCTCCACAGGTGCTACGATGAAGTGGATATTCTCGTTTATTTCAATATCTTCAAGTGGCACTACCAGAGTTTCATCTGACAGCCATTTCTTTAAGTTAGACACATGGAAGACATGGTGTACATTACTTAGTTCAGGCGACAGCTAGAGTTTATAAGCCACCAGACCAATCCTAGCAAGGACTTCGAACGGTCCGATGTATCTTGGGTTCAATTTCTCACGCTTCCCAAAGCACATCATCCCTTTCCAAGGAGAGACCCTTAGCAATAAGTGATCACCAACTTGAGATTCCAAGGGTTTCCGTCATTTATCCGCGTTGCTCTTTTGTCGGTCTCTGGATGCCTTTAGTCGCTCCTTAATCTGAACGATCTTCTCAATTGTATCTTTGGTGATCTTAGGATCTATAAGAGTGATATTGGGTACTTGCCCTTTTGCCAACTGTGTATCTCCCAACTCAGCCCAACAGAGAGGTGATCTGTATTTACGTCCATATAGAACCTCAAAGGGAGCGACCTTGATGCTTGTATGATAACTATTGTTGTTTGAGAATTCGATCAGTGGTAAGTGGATATCCCATGCTTTAGCGAAGTCTATCACACAGGCTCTCATCATATCTTCTAGTGTTTGGATGGCCCTCTCACTCTGTCCATCTGTTTGAGGATGGTAAGTAGTACTCATATCGAGCTGAGTTCCCAATGACCTCTGAAGTGACTGCCAAAAGCAAGAGGTAAATCTACTATCCTTGTGAGAGATGATAGATATGAGCACGCAGTGTAATCTCACGATCTCTTTTATATAGGTCCTGGTTAACGTCTCCATTTTATCAGTTTCCTTTACTTGCAGGAAGTGGCTGGATTTGTTCAGTCGGTCAACGATTACCCAAATATTGTCAAGTACGCCCGCGGTCCTAGGCAACTTGGTTACGAAATCCAAATTTATCCGTTCCCACTTCCACTAGGGTATTTCTGGTTGTTGTAGTAGACCCGAGGGCCTCTGATACTCCACCTTAACTTTGGCGCAAGTCAGACACTTGCTCACATAGGCAGCGATTTCGGCTTTCATATTCGGCCACTAATAATGTTATTTGAGATCCAGGTACATTTTCTCTGAACTCGGATAGACGAAGTACTTTGTTTTGTGGGCCTAATTCATAACCACGTCTCTGAAGCCACCAAATTTCAGTGTCCAGATAAGGTAGTAGGCTCTGTCGTCCTTGATCGTGAGATTCTTGTCCATCCCTCGCAAGGCTTCGTTTGCGATATTTTCCAATCTCAAGGCTTCCAGTTGAGCTTCTCTGATTTGCGAAGACAGGTGGGAATGGATGGCCATTGTTAGAGACTTGACTCGGCGATCAAAGTATTATTTCCGGCTTAGGGCTTCTGCCACCATATTGGCTTTGCCCGGATGCTAATGGATCTCGCACTCATAATCGTTCAACAACTCAACCCATCGCCACTGCTTCATATTTAGTTCCTTCTGATTTAGAATATGTTGGAGGCTTTTGTGATCCATGAAAATGGTGCACTCACTACAAGAAAAACAACATTTTACGACACACAATGCATGTCGTAAAACGCTCAGATGACACACAAATGCTTGTCAAGGAAGGCCCTATCATAACAAAAGATGATACACTTTTTCACGTTGTCTATTTACGACACGCATTTACGACGCGCAGTTACAGCACACATTTACCATGCTCATTTACGACACCCAATGCGTATCAAGGAAGGCCATGTCATAGAGGAAGACGACACACATGTGCGTGTCGTAACCTTACGACTCGCATTACGTATCATTAAAGCCCCTGTCAAGAAAGGCCATACCATAAATGAAGATGACACACATTTTTGCGTATCGAAATTTTAAATGTTAAAAAAAGAGTATTTATAGATCTACTACTTTTCAAATTAAATTTGCATTTAATGTGTCATAATAGAAAATAGAATATCATATACAAAAAATACAATCCATTGCGTAAAATTTAACGTCATACAAATAATCGTTCATGCAAAGATAAAACAAATCAATAGAAGTTGTAACAGAAATTTGCAAACTAATTAGATACAAGAAATATGAAAAACTTGAAATCCTTGAGATTAATAGTTCTAACAGAAGCTTCACGTGAGATACATACAGTTGGACCAGTAAGCAAGGATGTTCCTGAATCCACAATAGTAGCACGAGAACACGTACACGATATCTTTTGCTAGAAGGTGTCGATCCAAAACTATCGTGCTTTTATCCTGCAAAAAAGAAATGTAAGGGAAAAATGATCATTTAGTGATTTAGTCTCATACAAACACTTTCTTGTTTATTTCGACTAGAAAAGAAACATACCTAAAAGTACTATATAAACAAACTAACAATGACTACTTCTTTTCGGGACTGTATGAATGATCTGAATATGAAGAAGGTAAAATGAACATTTTACCCTTCTTGCTAGAAAAAACAAACCTGCAACCAAGCTCGTTTGGTGCTCTGCATGACATCTTGAACTGTATTAAAATCATAGCAAACCTTTTGTGATAGCCTTCTGATTTCTTGGTTAAGGAATACAGTGAAAAGATCCAAATCTTCATTGTTTATCTTATTATTGAACTTCAGTTCCATTTCATCAGCTTCTCGAAATATAGACTTCTGAAATAATCTGAACATAAAAAGAAACAAGAATTTCCAAGATAAAGGGTAAGTTGTTAATTAGCTAAAAACAAATAGAATATGAGAACAAAAACAGAAAGGAAAATAGGTGAAGGGTTAATGTCTTGATTCAAATTGTCTTCCTTATCCTCATTCTTATCATAGAAGTTAGAAAATATAATGTTAATTACAATTTTAATTACAACTTTAGTCCATGTGTTATATCAAAACTTATAAATTTTTTCCAATTGTTTCATTTGTTGCATTGGTAGTTGCTAAAGTTTGGTTTGGTTGCAAATTATGTCCCTGATAATAACGGTGTACCAGGGATGAACTTTGCAACAAACCAAGCTTTAATGACCACATGTGCAAGAAATGAAATCTGTTTACTAAACCCATAACTTTTGACATACCACGGGGACTAAACCTGTAATTTTCTCTAAAGAGTTTGTCTGGTGTGGTCATGTGTAATAAAAGCAAAGATTCTAGTTTTGAGCTCATTTATAAGTATAATGTTGTGTTGATGGACTTACAGTTTTTAGTTGCTCATGAACAAAGTCTACAAGTTGTTGGTTTGACATGCAGTCACTGTATAATAATAATAATAATAAACTTTAAGTAGTACATGTATTTTATAATATATTGATTATGAGATCTGGAAAAATGCAAATCATGTTATTTAGACCCACAATCATAAGCATTTCATCAGAAAATTTTATGTTTTTAAGCAACTTATGATGCTAATGTTACCTACATATGGCCTAAAAAATCATAATGTCAATACTTCAGCATACCATGTTTATATTAGGATTTGTAGTTAGAATTTGTTTTTCAGGGGGAAGTGTTTTATCTTTTTTCAGCTCTATATCACCTGAACAATATAATGGTAATCAGAAAGGTTTTCTAAGAATTTAAAAATAGAAAATAAAAGTGAGAACTACCAATAGTTGGAAGAGGGCCAGCAATCAATGTAAGTATCAAGGATCCCACAAAGCGTCTTGGAACTGCTACCCGTTGGGTAACCGTCGTAACCAATTATATATATATATATATATATATATATATATATATATATATATATATATATATATATATATATATATATATATATATATATATATATATATATATATACTTTATTCTATTCGTTCGATATGTTATATGTACATAATATAATTGTTGGAAGTTTTAAGTTATAGTTGTTATTTTTAATAAAGAAAAACTTAAAAATTCTTATGTGAAAAATGTGGCTTAATTGTGAGAGTGGGTAATTTTAAAATGATAAAAGAAATTTGCCATTATAAATGTGAACGTAAGATAAACGACTAACGAGAGGAATTGAGAATGAAACCATTACATAATATGTATGCATAAACTTATTAGAAAAATGGCAATATATTAATTTGCTTTAAGGAATCAAAAACCGTGTATATATATATATATATATATATATATATATATATATATATATATATATATATATATATATAACTTTAATGTCCATGCCTATGTAGTGGTTGTTATCATCTGCGTTGTTATTGTAGTTGTTGTGTTTTGTATACTACAACATGCTATGGTGCACATACAACTAGCATACAACTGTTTGCAAAGCATGAAGCCTACAACAAGCATACAACTAGCATACAACTGACCTAAACAACATATAATTGAGTTATAGAATTACCTCTTTATTGTAGCTTGTAGTTTTGGCCTTTAAGAACTTAACACCTCAAATGTGATGCCTCAAATGGTTTACAAACACCATGAACAAATGGATGACTTTTGAGAGAGAATATGGAGCACTAAAATTTGGCTATGCTTCTCTATGAATATTCTAGTGCAAAACTTGTGCAACCAATTTTAGGCTATAGAGTGTCATATATATAGTGTAGGAATCCAAAAGTCATTGGTAAACCCTAATCTATACAATTGAGCTTATTATCCATGATCCATGTGGACTAACTCGTCATGGAATCTAGCATAAACTTAGTTCATCGTGTCAAGTACATACCAATTATAGTTTTGGACTTAGACACATAATCCAACAGTCTCCTACTTGGATAAGTCTAATAACTATTATTGAAAGTACAACTTAAAACCCGACTAACAATCGTAGCTCTTAAAAGCCGCTGTCGAACTCTAACCTAGTCAATGACGTGTCCATTAGATAAGGGATCATATATTCCTCCATTCTAGATATTGTGTGGACTAAGAGATGGATTTTAATCATTATCTCTGTCCATCTGTTGTTTCCTGATTTCCGATTTAAGACGACCGACTAATTGAAAAATCAAATCTGTCCAGGCTTCGCCAAGTGCTTAGGATTGTCATCACTAAATTATCGAGGTGCCCACAAATATCACTTTTATCCCTCTAAGGGTAAAAGGAATGGATAAACTTTAACTTGCTCTATCTACTCATCAAATCACGCACAACAATATGTTTTATAACACCAAGTTACTGGTGCGTTTACATATTATCAATGTGCAACCGACTTGTAAACTGCAACTCATATCTCTTCGTTTCAAGAATATAAGATACTATCGTCTCACCAATCACTCATGATAAAATCCATGAAGTGATTCAGATAAGCGTGGGTTTAATCCAATACTCAGACTTTATGAGCACTCATGAATGTTGTAGCAATCTTTTGCTATGTCTAAGCACTTTAGACAATCTACAATCCAAATTCATGATAGTCTTGCCTCAATACCTACTTCCAAAGTATGATCGACTGTGGATGGTTTGAATAATCTTATTATTCGGGAAGTCAAAACATGCAAAGTGAAACACAAGAATAATCGAATCCAATATGGTGTCAGAAGTTATGAATATAAATAAAACACTTTTTATTTAATCACCATATAGATTAGACATTAATGATTGTATAATGTGTCGATTTATCAACTTAATACTTGAATTAAAAAAATAGCTATGCCATGCTCCAAGCATGCACACTATGTTTGTCTATGGTCCTTACTTTGTGAAATAGATCAATCAAACACATCTTTAATGAAACTCATTTCACAATTCCAAATCTTTATTTCAAGTGAAAGAATTCTAAATACTTGTCATTGCTAGAACGTGTTAAATTCTAAACTATCATGCAATGTTCTTTTGTAATGTCTAGGTACCAAAAGTCATAGAGACTTGACCAACGATATTACAAAACTTTCCACTGGAAATTGTTAAAATACAATTCATAGGAAGCGATGTCTCAAATTCAAAGTACATTCCTTTGAACATCCTTCATGCATAAAAGTTTCTAACTTTCTTATGTATTCTTAATCTCCAACTCCCATTATGGAAAAAAATTCCACATTTTCCATATGACAACTCATTATTAATAGAATCCTGTCTAATCATAATAATGTCAATATGGTCCATCCATTACTATACTTCCAACTATCCTTAAGCGACCAATCCTTGACGCACCTTAGATTGTCCTTAACAGTTGTTTAACCACTTTAGTCATATCCAGTTCTATTCCTTTTTCCCTCTTAATTCCTTAGGCATTTGGAAAATTAGAACACGAGAATATTATGGCATATGCAATCGATCCTATACCCGAAGCATATGGGACACGATTCATAATGTCTTACATAAAGACAAGATACTTGATCAGTCTTTTGCTATAATATTTCCATATATAGAATTTCCAATGTTGAAGCATTTCAACATGGTACTCATATATATATATATATATATATATATATATATATATATATATATATATATATATATATCCTTGACTAAATTTGATTAAAATATCACAATCTAAGCATTTAGATTTGAAATGAAGTATGAATTCCTCTCCCATAATTATAGCGAAACAACTTTTCAAACCCTGCAACTTTACGATTTGAAACTTTTGTTTTCTATAATTAACATTGCTAACTTTCAACACATAACATAATAATTATGCTCCCACTAGCATAATAATTATTATCTTACTACGATAAAACTTATTCTCCCACTAGCTTTGACATGTACCCAGAAATCAGCTAGATTTCTTGAAATCAATACTTATTGACTTTCATTACCAAAGTTCAGATTTCTGATGCGAGATACTTCGATGAGACTTTATCTAGGCTTCTCAAAATCATACACCTTAACCTAGACAGCTCACATGTGTGTCTTAACAGTTTTAGAACTTACAACAATAAGTCTCAAATGATTAGACATTTTTCCATTTCTCACAATTCTAACTATAAAGAGGGATGTTGTAATCATCATCGAATTTGAGAATGCAAATATCACAATAGCTATCTCCTTAAAATCTACTTAGTGAAAGTGTTTCCTCACAATCAATTTCATCAATTGGACACAAAACTTATGTCACTTAGATTTTATGGTGTATGTGTTCCTATCCATGTGAATTTTCATAACCATAATCATAAGACAAGGTCTATGACAAAATCAAAATCATATGGACTGAACTTGTTCAATCTTAATTTCTTGCCACCTGGCAGCACAAGGGCCTACCACACTTCTAGGTTGTTATGCAAACAATTGAGAACTCATAGAACTTACATGCATAGACAACTTTAACTGGAATGGCCACAGAAACAAGAATATGTCAACACGATATGTTACAAACATCAAGTAGTGTGCTAGTGATTAACAATAAGTTTCCTATTGATTAGTTCTTGAAATTTTTCAAGATCTTTAACACTCCCACTCACCTCTTGACATATAAGATTCTCTTCTCAAGAAACATTCTTGACAAACAAATATTCAAGAGTTAGTTGGGTTTCTTATCAATACAAACACTTCACACAATTGGTCTTAGTTGGTCTTTGTTTTATCCAAAACATCACAACTTACCAATTTCAAATGTACAAGAGTAGAAAACATTTTACTCTACATTTGAAGGGTGTTATAAACCTATCTTTAGATTATGTCACTCAAGGCTCGATCTTGGAGTGTTACTCTAAGACTCGATTTTGGAACGAAGTATGATTCACCTTTTGATTTAACCATTTCAACAATTCACAATTCCTCTCCTTATCCATACA